TTGTATCAACATGACATGCTCTTTGCTCCTTTTGTTGAATCTTGTGAAAAAGGACTCATTGTGGATAATTACTTGTTAGATAGATTTTTGTTCCGAAAAGGCAAACTTTGCATACCATCTTGTTCCATCCGTGAGCTACTTGTGAGGGAAGCTCATGGAGGTGGTTTAATGGTACACCATGGAGTTTCTAAAACTTATGATATTCTCTCTGAACATTTTTTTTGGCCTAAAATGAGACATGCTGTTCATAAAGTTTGTGCTCGTTGCGTAGCATGTAAACAAGCTAAGTCTAGGCTTCAACCACATGGTTTATACTCCCCATTACCAGTTCCTAATGGTCCATGGATTGATATATCAATGGATTTTGTTTTAGGTTTACCTAGGACTAAGAAAGGTTATGATAGCATTTTTGTTGTGGTTGATCGATTTAGTAAAATGGCTCATTTTATTCCTTGTCACAAAACCGATGATGCAAAACATATTGCTGACTTGTTCTTTAGGGAAGTTGTACGATTGCATGGCATTCCTAAAAGCATCGTTAGTGATCGTGATGTAAAAATTTTAAGCCACTTTTGGCGTGCTTTATGGGGTAAGTTAGGAACTAAGCTAGTATATTCAACTACTTGTCATCCTCAAACGGATGGACAAACTGAAATTGTTAACAGAACCATGACTGCTATGATTAGGGCTATTATTGATAAGAATCTTAAGACTTGGAAAATGTAGTAAAAGAAGCATTTGTGCTTTTCTTTAGTCAATGGCTAAGTTTTTTGCAATTCTATGTAGTTTAGGTTGCATGTAGAATCATTCAAGCTCGACATGATCAATCTTACTTGTGGAGTGATTCGAATCTCAAACAAGTGTTCTTGCGGTGAGATATTTGATCAACAAGAATCATTCAAGCTAGACATGATCGATCTTGCTTGTGGAGTGATTTGAATCTCAATCAAGTGTTCTTGCCTTGAGATATTTGATCAACACGATAATCCGAATCTTATTCCCCTTGTATGATTGATGTCTCTTGGTTCATATCACTTGGTGTAGGAATGGGAGCTGCACGTTAGCACTTGACTTTCTTTTCCGGCATAAGAGGTCTTGTCTCTTTACTGTTTTAGTGGAATAAGCAGTCTTGGTGCTTTCCTAGTTGGCTATTCTTTATCTGATCTTGTTGCCAGGAAGAAGGAGGCATCCAACAGCCTACAGACAGAGTGATGGTGATGCTTCTGTCATATATATGGAACTGTTCTTGCAATTGAAGGGGGTATCCAACAACCTCTAAAAAGAGGTTGGGTTGTTTTCTTGCAATTGAATCAAAAGGAACGGGTCTTACCTCAAAGGGAGTGCAGCCAGCCTATAGAACATAATATAGGACAAGGAGAGTAAAGAAAAGAGATAGTTCAACCTTCACCTTCACTGAAACCGACACCCTTTGACTATTTATTCTCTTCCGATTCTTTTGATATTGATTCTCCTTTCGTTCTCTTCTTTCTTCTTTTTCTATTTCCTCCTTGACTTTGGAAACGCAAATGAAAGGGTAAGGCGCAAATTCAGTCAATTCCTTGAGAGCTGCTTTTTACTTTACCTCGTTCAAGAAATTCTCTTCTTTCTTCTCCTTTTGTTCTCTTCTTTTTTTATTGATTCTCAATTCCTCCTTGACTTTCTCTTCTGTAAAATATTAGAATGGAATTGATCGAGAGGAGCACTTCTCAGGGTAGCATCGCCCAGGTTGAGAAGGAATTGCTTAAGTTTCTTCGGAACAAGAAGAATAGGAATTCTTCTCTTCGATGAGAGATAACCCAGGCTTTAGACACTCACCCTATAAATCTCCATAGAAATGGGGAGTGCCAGATGCAGAATCAGTTCCAGTCCCAGCAGCTGATGCTGTGAGAGGTGAGAAGAATAACAAGAGAAGCAGCGGAAGGAAGATCCAGTCAGCAGTAGTATATTCCGTTGTTTGTGGTGGAATAGATTCAAGCAAGCATCCGGGCCAGTAGATCCAGAGCAAATAGGCGGTTGACTTAGTTTCTTTTGCAGTGGATTCTAATCCCGATGTTGATCCGACTTACCGGTGATAGTCGCAGCACCAGGAGCTTTCAAGGGAGGCGGCCATGTATATCTCGATAGTAGTCGTGGCATACCTTCCGGATCGAGGGTCCCCCCCGGTAAACACAATAGAGGCAAAATCCCAGCAGGGGAGGAGACCCTTCTCACTTAAGCTCAAGCATTTACTCGTCTTGGGGCTAAGGTGGGATCTGCTCAAGGACCTACTGGTTTAGGTAAAGATCTAATGGGCTCCCTGACAGGAGAGGTGATATTTTGAAGAGCAAGTATGCGCTTTTCTAAAATGGTCGGAAGAACTGGGTTCCAAATGAATTTCTATATATATTATCGGTGGGTGGTTTTTATGCAAAAAAGACAAAATGGAATTGGATTTCCCCTCATAAGGAAGGAAGGTTAGATACCTTTAACAGGGTTGTCTTTTTGGTTGAAATGGGATGGTGTTCAAACTCCCAAAATGCAGTTTAGACAGCGGGCCTCCCCTTTCTGACTGGACTGACTCTCATGGTCAATCTCCTCCGGAGCATGCGGCACAGCCACTCATTCGTCCTGACCAAATAGTCGAATCTATCTCTCAGCGATTCTTTTCTCCACTAAGAACCCCTTCCCAACCAGCCCGCCTGATCGATTTTGTAAGGCTAATTCAAAGGGGTGAATCTGGTCCGAAGTTGTCGGAACGAATCGTTTGCTTTATTAGGGGGTCTTGGTTGGCCATTTTCAACCATTATAGCAGGCGTCGACCAGCTTTGCGATACGGAGGGACACAAAAAAGAACGCAGGCAGCGGAAATGCAAAAGAGAAGAGAAAAGATTCCGACCCAGAGCATCTTATTGACTTAACCACAAATCTGTTGAATGAAGATAGCTTGCTTACTCTCAGCCGCTAGTTAGAAGGAAATCTGTTGACTTTGTTTATGCCCTTATGCAGTAAAGAAAACAAGTGAGGCGGGCTTCCATTCGAAGTAAGGTAAGAGGATTCGATCTTGCACCATCTTCAACTCTTCTCGGGATCCGGTGTATTTCTAGAAAAGGTCCGATCCATTAATATCATGATTGGGTCACCCAAGCCAGATCTAGAGTGAAATATCATGATCAGATCGACCAGGCCAGATCTAGAGTGAATAGAAAATCGAAAACATACATAGCAGTTCCAGTTGAAATACTTGGAATAATTCTACCACTTCTACTAGGAGTAGCCTTTTTAGTGCTCGTTGAACGTAAAGTAATGGCTTTTGTGCAACGTCGAAAGGGTCCTGATGTAGTGGGATCGTTCGGATTGTTACAACCTCTAGTAGATAGTTTGAAATTGATGATAAAAGAACCTCTTTCACCAAGTAGTGCTAATTTCTCCCTTTTTAGAATGGCTCTAGTGACTACATTTATGTTCAGTCTGGTCGCTCGGGCTGTTGTACCTTTTGATTATGGGATGGTATTGTCAAATCCGAACATAGGGCTACTTTATTTGTTTGCCAAATCTTCACTAGGTGTTTATGGAATTATTATCGCGGGTTGGTCTAGTAATTAGGGGGCGGTTGTTCGGTCGCCTATGATACTAGGACTAATAGGTCAAAAATGGGTTTGTGCCGCAGGTGTTGAACGATCTACTCCATACAGGGCTAGGGCTCATAAACCCTTTCTTTCATTCAGCAATAGGGTCCTGGTCAGTCACTTTTCTGGGTCGAGATCAATCAAGAGGAAAAGATTCGCTGTCTTTTCACCCTTCTTCTTTGTCAACGCTATGTTGGCGCTACTTAGCCCTACATTAGATTAATAGAAGTTAGCGGCAGAGTTAGCCTACTATACCCTACTAATTGTATTGTTATTGTATAGTAGGCGAGCGAGTTAGCGAAGACGCTTAAGCTAATAGATAAGAGAGCGTCGGTGCGTAGCCTTCATTCTACTACGCTACGCAAAGGTTACGAAGTCACTTAGCTGTTAGGAGAGTCAAGGGGGAACACCATACCTACATAGAAGAACCGCTGTTTGTTGACTTTCTAAGGTCTAACCTTTCGCTCCCTACTGAAAAGGAGCAAAGCTGCTTCACACCACTGATAGACTACTTCAGATTCAATTCAAAAGGTCCTACTTAGTTTCGTCGTAAGCCTTTGTCATTGCCAGTCAACTAAGTAGGGCCTAGAGGCCCCCTGCGAATCCGTCAATCTCAGGAGCATGCCGCAACAAAAGGATGGTCCCCTATGCATTTCATTCTTTCCGGAAGGGAACAAAAAAGTACCCCCATCATGGTGAACCTCTCCTTGTGATCGGGATGAGGTAGATGCCTCCTAGTCAGGGGGCGGATCAAATCGGAGTTTCCTTAGGTAACCACCGACCTACAGTTATCCTTAAACTTCCGTGCTTGGTGGAGAAAAAGCGAACAAAGGTACGCTCGCTTCCTGTCTTGTTCTCTGCTGCGAATTGGGATCGCTCGCCAGTTAGGTCAGATTGGAGCAGCCTTTTATGAGAACATTTGACCCTTATTCGGGGACAAGGGACAGAAGGACCTCTCGATCTACGTACAGCTGCCCAGGAAGAAAAACGTCATCTAGGCATTCCCTCTCCCATCTACCCTACGCCTAGGACGTTGTCTGGGCCAAGAGCCATAGTTAGTTGCTGTTTCCATTTGCTTGTTTTCTTGTTGTTGATACTGGCCAAGACCCAGCCAGATGATGTCCGCTGGTTGGTAGGGCCGGATGATGTCCACTGGTTGGTAGTGAGAGGACTCTTAGTACCTGCATACCCAAAAGAAAGGGGGTGCTGATTACACTCTTCTTCCTAATTTTCTTGCTCTCCCTTAGCAGCGGGGAAGGAGTCCATCTATCTGCCTAGCTTTGGTAGATTTTCTCCAACGCAATCCACAGAAATTAAAGGAATCTCTTGGTGGATAAGTCCAACGACTCAGCTGCAGTGCAGAATTAATTGAGTTTCTCGTCTGGTGGATCTGATCTATAGGGGGCAATACATACCAAAACGTTCGAAGAAGGAACGCGCAGAAGAGTATATAACCAACCCACCCTTATAACCTATTCACATTAGTTAGTGAAGCGGCTGGATGCATTAGGGAAGTGCACGTTTGTGAGACCTTAGTCAAGATGCATAGGGAAGTCAACCTACAAGCACAGAAGAGTGTGGTACCGCAGCCCCTCTCTAAGTAAAGGTCAAGTCTCTCTTGAAGATAGAATGTAAGGAAATTGAAAGAAGCGCAGAAACGGGTCAAACTCGGTTGCTAGCATCGAAGAGAGCCATCATAGACAAGAAAGTGGGAGTTTAGACTTGGCGAACGAGCTCTTGCCGCGGGAGAGGAAAGCGGTGCAGGCAAAATAACCATTCCAGTAGTTGTAGTGGAGCAAAGGCTGGATAAAAGATAGATAAGCATGCCTTATCATACAAAAGGATGTAGAAAGAGTGGGGTCGATCCCACATCTCATAGAGAGGAGGAATGGAATACCAGGAATGATAAGGGATGACTAAACAGCTCACAGGAATAGAGTAATTACGCATTACTCCCGTTTTTTCATAGCTTGATTTAAGAGAAAATGGGGAGTTAGGCTGAAATGGCTATATGGCTTCAAAATGCTTTTTTTCAAGGTATGTTGATTGAACTCATAGGTGCTGGGTGAGGGCATAAAGACCCTAATTTACATAGCCTTATTGGACACAGATTTTGACTCGAGGCGGGCTGATTTTCCTATAAAAAAAGCAATAGGGGATCCGGGCCTTTTTTGGGGGATAGATAAAGGGCATAACATTGGGGTCAGTCACATTGTTTCATGTCCCAGGCCCGATTTAGGGAAAGAACTTTTCCTTTGCTGGTCGGGGAAACCTATTCAAGCACAGAGATGGAGATGGCTCCGCTGCGATAGAGGATGAAGGGGAATCCGTAGGCAACTGGTCGTTACTAGAAGATGAGAAAGATGCTGCCTTAATTGATTAGATTATTAGAAGAGCGAGGTGCAAGTGCTGGTTGCTCTATAGAGGGCTGCGACCCTTTGGACTCTGACTCCACGCACGGGAGGCGCAGGAAAACCCACTACTGAAGAAGATCCAGAAGATGCTGATCCAATAAACCTAAAATCAGGGGGAATAGCAGAACTCGTGCTCATGGAAGGTAAGAAAGAGGGACGGCGAGAACGAGAAGAAGGATCAAAACAAAGCCTTTTTGAGCCCAGGCATGCCCCTTTAAGAAACAGAAGTTTGCTGCACGAGGTGCATCTGACGTACCTGGGCAGGTATATGAGTATAGCATCAAAAATCAGTATAAGACTTTCATAATCAGGTGGCGATCCAAACAGACATAGATCTCGAGTAATATTGCCAAGCACAGAGGAAGGCAGTTGATGAGAAAGCATAATCAGGTGGAAAAGGATGGAAAAGAAAAGGTCCCCCAACTAACATAGGGCCACTTACCTTACTAGATAGGGGGAGACACGGCTGTCAAAGATCAGAGCAAGAGACATATCCATGATATGTGTCTATGCTTCCTTTCCTTTCTGCAACCCCATTTTATAGGTATATGGGCAGAAGAACTGATAATCAATTCCATGAGTGGCTGGAAACTAAGAGAAAGCTGATGAGACTCCCCCATCTTAGTCCAAAACTGGTATCCGATGACAAAAGAATCCATTTTCAACCTTAGCTTTAACAAAAAAAGCTGAAAAGCACTTACCCCTATCTAGTAATAGTAAGGTTTGTGCTTAATTCATTCTTTTTTTACAACGAAATACATCCATCATCCATAAACGAGCTTCAAACTAACAACCCCTATGAATAGTTCTAAGAAAGGAATGCGATAACCAGAGAGAGAAGGCACGGGGGGCCCCATACATCAGAATGCAAAAGGGCAGAGGGAATTGAAACTAGAAGAAGATTGTAATTCGTAGGTCTTGCCCGTGGTTGGCCAGCTAGCTGCTAAACCAAGAAGAGAATGAAGAACTAACAAATGCAGGAGGAAGCAATTTCAGGCGTGATAGTTTCCTCAATGTAGTCGAAGACCTAACAACCAACAATCAGACCTATAGTTGCCCTTAGTTGCCAATGATCAGGAAGCTCTTTGTTATGAAGAAGCCACAAAGAAAGAAGAGGAGAATGATGCATGCAGGTATAAAGCATATATGGGTTGTGATTGTTAGGATCGATACCAGTCGTTAGCTCTGATACCAGTTGTAGAATCGCACAACAACGCACACGCTCGATCTAGATGAAAATTGCAAGGAGAACTCTAGCTAAAAGAATTTTTTTTTTTTTTATTGATGACTTCAAGTATGTACAACAAGAGAGAGTACAGAGAATAGAAAGTACATTTCCAAAGCTTTACTGGATGGGATATACATATGGTTCACTTGGAGACTGATCCTACACCATAACAATTAGGGCTTTGCATAATCTTAATTTTCCAACATCAACACATTTTGTCAACATGTCTGCTGGATTCTTTGCACCCTCTATTTTCTCCAAACACATCGCCTTCTTCCACTAACCTGCGAGTGAAATGGTACCGTCTTCTAATGTGTTTTGTCCTTGAATGATAGACTGGGTTTTTCACCAACTGTAAGGCACTCTGACTATCTGTATAAAGGATCTGTTGCACTGCTTCCGGCCTAATTCTTCTAGATAGTCTGTCATCCATATCATCTCCTTTCCAGCTTCAGCTATGGCCACGTACTTAGCTTCAGTAGATGAAAGAGCAATGCATTTCTGAAGCTTGGACATCCAACTCACTGCTGTTCCATCTATAGTGTAGATATACCCAGATGTGCTCTTGCTGGAGTCTACATCTCCACTCAGATCAGCATTCACAAAACCTTGCAGAACTACTTTGCCATTGCTTCAGTAGATGAAAGAGCAATGCATTTCTGAAGCTTGGACATCCAACTCACTGCTGTTCCATCTATAGTGTAGATATACCCAGATGTGCTCTTGCTGAAGTCTACATCTCCACTCAGATCAGCATTCACAAAACCTTGCAGAACTACTTTGCCATTGCCATAACAAAGTGTAGTATTGGATGTATCTCTCAGATATCTCAGAAGCCACTTCAAAGCTTCCCAATGTTCCTTCCCTGGATTTGCCATGTACTTGCTAACAACTCCCACTGCATGTGTTATGTCAGGTCTAGTGCAGATCATAGCATACATCAAACTCCCAACTGCAGAAGCATACGGAATTGATGCCATGTGCTCACGTTCCTCAACTGTCTTGGGAGATTTCCCCTTTGACAATTTAATATGATTTGCCAAGGGGGTAGTCCTGGGTTTAGTGTTATTCATCTTGAATTTGGACAACACCTTCTCAATGTACTGCTCTTGGGATAGATTTAATGTGTCAGCAGATCTATCTCGAAAAATCCTCATCCCAAGGATCTGCTTCGCTGCAGCTAAATCTTTCATCTCAAATACTGAAGACAAGCTTGCCTTCACGTGGTTTATCTCCCTCATACTTGATCCAGCAATTAGTATATCATCCACATATAGGAGTAGAAACACATAAGAATCAGTGTATTTCTTGAGGTAGCAACATTGATCCTTTTCACTTCTGTGGAAACCACTCTTGCTCATGAAGGAGTCAAACTTCTTGTACCATTGTCTCGGTGCTTGTTTCAGTCCATACAAGCTCTTATTAAGCTTACACACCATGTGCTCCTTGCCTGGACTTGCAAACCCTTCTAGATGTTGCATATAGATCTCCTCATCTAGATCTCCAGGTAAAAACACCATTTTTACATTCATTTGCTCAAGGTGCAAATTCTCCGATGCAACAATACTCAGCAGAATTCGGATAGTAGTTAATTTCACCACTGGAGAGAAGATCTTGGCATAATCAATGCCTTTTCTTTGTGAATATCCTTTAACTACTAACCGAGCCTTAAACCTCCTTCTGCCATCTGGTTCAACCTTGATTTTGAACACCTATTTGTTCAACAGAGCTCTCTTTCCTGTAGGCAACTCAGTCAGCACCCACGTATTATTTCTTTCAAGTGAGCTCATCTCATCATCCATGGCTTGCTCCCACTTGGTTGAATCTTCCACTTGTAGGGCCTCGTCAAAGGACTCTAGTTCTCCTTCGTCAGTCAGCAACAGATAATGTAATGAGGTTGAATATCTATCTGGTGCTCTAGTAGTTCTGGATGATCTTCTCAACACCTGCTCAGGTGCAACTTGCTCCACGTCTGGTTCTTCAGCAATAGGATCAGGAGTTTCTTGAGCTTCTGTTGTGCCATCACTGCGTGAATTTTCTTGCCACTCAAGTTCAACTCCCACTTGCTTCGTAGTCTCAGAGTTTATCTTCTCTCTGTCCTTGTACATGACATTTTCATCAAAGGTCACATCACAGTGTCTTAGGATCTTCATATTTTTCTCATCCCAAAACCTGTACCCGAACATGTCAGAGTCATAGCCTATGAAGTAGCATTTCACAGCCTTAGCATCAAGCTTATCTCTCTTCTCTGGATCAACATGAACATATGCAGTACAACCAAAGGTTCTCAAGTGAGAGTACTTGAGTTCTTTTCCTGTCCATACTTCTTCGGGCAATTTGAACTTCAAGGGTACTGACGGCCCTCTATTAATCAAATATGCTGTTGTGTTCACAGCATCAGTCCAGAATATCTTTGGCAGTCCAGAATGAATCCTCATGCTTCTTGCTCGCTCATTTAATGTTTTGTTCATTCTTTCTGCAATACCATTTTGTCTTGCCTTACTGGGAATTGTTCTTATTAATCTAATTCCCTCAGCTGCACAAAATGTTATAAACTCTGATTTGTTGTACTCTCCTCCATTGTCAGACCTCAGGCATTTGATCTTCAAGCCGGTCTGATTTTCAACTTCAGCTTTCCACTTCTTGAAGGTGGTAAACACATCTGACTTGTGTTTCAGAAAGTAAACCCATACCTTTCTGCTGAAGTCATCGATGAAGGTGACGTAGTACCTTGATCCACCAAGTGATGAAACTGAAGATGGTCCCCAGACGTCTGTATGGACCATTTCCAACAGCACTTTCTTCAGTTCTCTGGCAGCCTTTGTGAAACTAACTCGTTTCTGTTTGCCCATAACGCAGCTCTCACAAAGACCCATATCAACAGATTTTAAGCCTTCTAAAGCTCCTTTCGCAGTCAGCATCTTCATTCCTTTGACGCTCATATGTCCAAGTCTATTGTGCCATAGACTTGAATTGGAAGCACTCTCAGTAGCAGCAGTCATGTTTATACACTCTGCAGTAGTGTATAAGGTTCCGGATTTTGTGCCACGTGCAACAACCATGGCGCCCTTCACAATCTTCCAGGAACTCTTCC